TTAAACTATGTCAACCACTGTCAACACTCTACACAGACATGATTTACTAAATACATTTTTACAGCTAAAAATACAATGCACAAACCAAAGAAATAACTTTAAAAAAATCCAAATACACAATTGTGAAACCAGAGGAAAAAACGCATTAATCTTAGGTGAATGTGAAGCATATTTCACTAAATTTAGCGAAAAACACTTCTCTGTAATTTCTTTGTTGCATCTGCAAGTCCACATTAGGCACTCACAAAATGTCTATCAAACTCAATAAAATGAGATTTTTAAAACCAGGACGAAGTTGTATTACACTTAAAATACCTTCATGCAATTAAATTGACGCAATATTAAACAGTACTGAATTAAACTAATATTTTCATAATTACAAATGTGATTTAAATGAAAATGAGAAAATCTCTTTTTTCTCTTTACATATATGATTAACTAGAACACACCAACTGCAGAAGATGCAAGTTAATAACGAAAAGGGACAAAACGAAAAGCTCTTACCCTTAAGATGGACCAGTAACAACTTTGCTGCAAATGAGTGGAATTCCCTTGACCTGTCACTTAGGGAAGCCGCCTCTTTATCCAGTTTTAAACGACACCCTTCCAAAGTGACTTTAAAAGTACCTGTTAGTAAGTAAATACTTACTACCTACTTGTATGTTAGTAAATGTATGATTTTAGACTTTTAGTTTTATATTTGTTCACGTACATCTTATTTTTTAGAACTTTTATTATTTTTTAAACTTTTATCATGTAAATTTTTGAACTTTAAACTGGAACATAATTGTTTCTATTAGTGATTTTAGTCGAAGAGGACCCTGTAAATCACTGGTTTCAGTCAAGCTGGCATCCTCAATAAACATCATCATCATTCACTCAAGCAAAGAATTGTGGATTTCGTTTTCAAGGTCATCATTTATGGATCATCAGTGGCAGTAACTCACTTCTTAAGGCCTCTGTTTCTACAAGAGAATTGGTGATTTTAAACAGAGCCTCAAAAAACCAGTTGCATACTTTCAGCCTTTACAAAAGAAAGATAATGTCCATTTGGATTTCTTAGTATTTTGGTATAGTGAGGAGGTATAAGTAACCGAGGGAGAGGAAGGAGAAAGCGCCAACAGGGTATGGGGTACAGTTTTGGCGGCACATGATCAGTATCCTCCTGTAAACCAGTGTCTTTAAGATGATGCAAAGTCTGAAAACGAAGCGGTGATTGTTGTCCTTAAAAAATTCCGCAATAATTGTGTATTATTTTTAAAATCTTTCAAAAATTGTTTCAGAATGCTCAAGAGCTGATGAATCTGAACATTTCGAATGTCTGAAAAAAGTGTATAACAAGCATGTAAAACACAGAATACACATTTCTGGAAGAACTAGACTGTAATGGTTATTTGACACCACGTGTACGTCATGTACATTTGCAATTGCCTCTTACAATCAAATTACTAGGAGTCTACATTGACAAGAATCTCATATTTGCAGGCACGTAGCCAGTATTTTTTAGGGAGGTGCGATTCAACAAGGAGACGGACCAAACGAGGCCGGAGGTGCAACTCTCCAGGGGTAAAATTGGATTGTCAGAGACTACATTAAGAATATGGATATTTCTCAATTTTTTTTTTGAACATCCATCTGATTCCTTTAGCTTTTTTCAGTTTTCTTTAAAAAGACTACTTACTTTTACAATTTTTGAGAATGGAAGATGTCAATGTCACTAAACAGAAAGAAAAAACAATTTCATACCTTAGCATAGTACAAATGCAATTTAATTAGAACTTGTCATGGAATGACCAAATTGAACATATTTGCAGAAACATCAATAAGAATCTAGGTCTCCAGAGATCGATTAAAGCTTTGTTAACTCTTAGCGCTAGGTTGACCTCTTTCACTGGCTTTGGTTTACCACATTTGTAGTGTCGAAACATCATCTGGGGCGACCGAGGAAACTCGACATTAGCAAGTGCTTCAGAATAAAGCTGCCCATATTATTTCAGATCTCCCATACGCCTTTCTCCTAGTGACACTGTAGCGAAATTACATTGGCAACGACTGATGCGCTCCAGAGCTTTTGAATCTGACGATTTCGAATGTCTCAAAAAAGTGTATAACAAGCATGGAAAAGACAGAATACACATTTTTGGAATAACCAGAATGTAACGGTAATTTGAGAGCACGTGTACGTCATGTACATTTGCAATTGCCTCTTACAATAAAAGAAAAGCTTCATGTAAC